GCCTTCGCGCTGTTTCAACGACACGGCCTTCCCGCCATCTCATCAACGACATCGCCCTTCCCGCTATTTCACCGACATGGCCTTCGACATGGCCTCCGCGCTATTTCACCGACATAGCATCCCCGCTATTTCACTGACATAGCATCCCCGCTATATCACTGACATAGCATCCCCGCTATTTCACTGACATAGCATCCCCGCTATTTCAACGACATAGCCTCCGCGCTATTTCACTGGCATAGCCTCCGCGCTATTTCACCGACGTGGCCTTTCGCGCTATTTCAAAGGTATGGCCTTTCGCGCTATCTCATGGAAGATATGGTGGTGCACTGCTACCACAAGGGTGCTGGCAACAGTTCTTTCCCGCAGTGTTGGTTTTGGTCATGGTCGCGGGGTGTTTCCTTTCACTATTGTCCGGCGCCTGCGTGCGCGGCATGCCGATTGCCAGTGAAGTGATAACTTTTGTCGGAGTTCGGGCCCGATGCTCCTTGGAGTTGGCGGTGCATTGGTAGATACGAGGAATGCAACTTTCTTTCCTTTGACCGGTTCCGTCTCTTTCAATATCCTCTGTGTGGCGCGTTGAATGGTATCGACGATGTGATTGTGACTGCTAATCGGTACAGTGAAGTCGATCCGAACTTTTACGGGGTCGTTGAGGATGGTAACGGGAGTATGAGACGTAGGAAGGCAAGACCTTGGAAGACGTGAGGTGTGAGCAGGACCGCACCATCCCTGCTTGAGATTTATCACCTACACAACCATTTCGGCACTCAAATTCGGCACTTCCAAGGTTCTCATCACCCTTTCCGGTACAATGATGCATCTTCCGAAACCCTACTCAAGTCCTAACTCCCGTGTGAACCGCCTACCCTAGTCTTCATCTCGAACATCACGGAGTGTGACGGAGACGATGTCCAGTACTCGAACATGGTCTTCTCATGCGTTCCGCACACATGTTGAACCGCGTTGGAGATGGCTTGCAGAGTTTATCAAGTGACGGCGGTTGACATGAGAAGGTAAGAACTACCTTAACTCATAGAAGGAACGAAAGCACGCAGTGTCCTTTACACCTTCCCGAGATCGGTTGACACTGATCCATCCAAGGACCGGCGAAATTGAAGATTGCCGGCTCTCCTTATAGTTAATCGACGACACCGCTCGCTAACAGGTAGCTATAAGCACAAAAGGAAGCATCATTGCGGAGAGCCAAATGTCTCATGTAATATGTCTCATTCGTGCTGTTGCCGTTGCAGAGAGCAGAAGATCCTTTGGTGTTGTAGGGAGGGTGGCAATCTTCAATTTCACCGGGGCTTGATTGAAAGTCGAGAGAGGGAGAGGGAGAGGGTGAGAGAAAAGGAGGGGGAAAGGGAGAGGGAGAGGGAAAGGGAGAGAGTGAGGGTGAGAGAAAAGGAGAATCAGCGATAAGTTCTAGTCCATTGGTAGTTTAGCACTTCCGGGCGTCTTCACATAAAACGACGGTGCCCACTTGCAACCAGACCAACTGCGGCGAGATAACTTGATGAGTACTTGCTGCTTACACTTCAAAATGGAGTCCAGAATGTCCACATATTTGGATTGCCAAACTCAAGACTCGAGACACGAGGAACCAGGAACGATCAAGCATCGATGTATCGAATAGGTTGACTTTGCACGGAAGACGAACGCTTCCGCGCCATGTGAGGAGTAAGGATGATGATATAAAGCTACGCCTTTCAGCTTCCAGGTGACAGGGCCGGCATTGTTACGCCTTCGTCGGAGACGATCTCCCAATGACCAGCACTCCCTCGTGTTGGAAGCTGTTTTTAAGGCAATGCAATACGAATGAGATCGAGAACCAAAGCACTTCTGCTGCCTCACCAGAAGATGGGAGGGCCGAAGGAGATATTGGCAGCAAGTCCGCACAGTCATTCTAGACATGAGAGCATACTGCAATATGTCCAAACGCATGTGCGAGGAGGCTGATGAAGTATTGGAGAACAAATGCATTTCTTCCTCGCTACAGCCCTTTCAAAAATATACGAAGACAGATTCCAACACATCATCATTTCGCTGGCAATGCTTTGCTCTTCGCTTTCTTCGCCTTGGGATCGATTCCTTTCCTCTTCAAATTCTTGTTTAAACTCCTCTCAATGAGTACTTCGTCTTCCTCATCATCGAAGTCAGCAAACGGACTCTCCTCCTTATCCTCGTCGCCTTCCTCAATGTCCTGATGAACATAGACATCCTCGTCGGCATCAGCCTCAGCCTCGGCCTTCTTATGCTGCCTCTTCTCCTYGGCACTACCTTGCGGTAGGACCGCCGCAGCAGGAGTCGGGCCAGTCTTCTTGAACTTTGCCACGAAGAAGCCATCCACGTTGAAGGCGTGTGGGTAATATCTCCGAGTATCCTTCATTGCCGGGTGGAAGGTCTTGCCCATGAAACTTGTGAAACCTTCCTTTCCGAAGATCAGGCCCGTGGGCACGAGCTTGATGTTCGGACGCTTGTTGAGCACATATTGAACGACCATCTCATTCTCCTCGATTGTGACCGAACAGGTACTGTAGACGATGTAACCGCCAGTTTTGCTCGCGTGGTCGACAGAGTCCACCGCTGCGAGCAGGAGCTGCTTTTGCAAGTGAGGCAGACGCAAGAAATCGGCCTCGGTCTTGTTCGTCTTGACACTTGCGTCCTTGGCGATGACTCCCGTTCCTGAACATGGCGCATCCAGGAGTACGCGGTCGAAACCACCCATCACACGAGGAAACTCCAGCGCAGAGTAGTTGCATACGATGGTGTTTTTCACGCCTAATCGGTGAATGTTACCAATCAGACCCTTTGCACGATCTTTGTTGGAATCGTTGGAAAAGATGCAGCCGGTATTTCGCATGAGGGCGGCAAGATGGGTTGTCTTTCCACCAGGAGCAGCAGCCATGTCCAGTACACGCTCATGTTCTTGTGGTGCGAGAGCCATAACGGGGAGGAAGGAAGATGCTGCTTGAAGAATGTAGTGACCAGCGAGGTATTCTGGGGTAGCACCAAGCGGAACCTGAGACTCGAAGATTTGGAGACCGACCTTGGACCATTTTCCAACGGGCTCCAAGGTGACACCACGATTGATGAGAGCGTGTGCAAGCTCACGACGACCAGTGCGAAGGGTGTTGGTGCGGATGACCATTGGACGGGGTGTCTCATTGGCATCGAAGAACGCCAGGGCTTCCTGAGCGGGGAAGAGATTGAACAATTTCTCGGCGAGGAATGGCGAATAGCCATAGTATGTGCAAATGTCCTTGAGCAGGCCGGTGGTGTATTCCGCGCGTGATTTGCCAGGCTCGGCCAACTCTTTGAAGGAGGTCAGAACACGGACGACCTCGGTGATGCGGGTACGGAGCAGCTGGAGATCTGGCGCGAGTAGTTCCTTGGCTCCAGGAGTCTCATCATCGTCGCCGTCGCCATCAATTAGATCATTGGCGATATTCGTCTGCATAGCATCGTCGCGAAGTTCGGCCTCAGCGTCGGCGGCCTCCTGCGCTTGCTGTTCGTCCAACTTCCGCGAAAGGCCCGCAATGTTGGCGGCTGTGAGCTGCTCTTCGCCATCTGAGTCGCCCTCATCGTCGGACCACATCATCTTCTTGTTCTTGCCTCCACCGCCGCCTCCACGCATCTCTTCATCCGAATCCACGACATCGCCGTCAGAGTCCAAAATGTCATCATCTGCCGTGTCAAGATCGTCGTCATCCTCGCTGCTAACCAAATCGTCCAGATCTTCCTGCACAGTGGTCTCCTCCTTTTTGGTCTTTTTCGGCTTCACAATTTCCTTCTTCTTCTCCACTTTCTTCTCCGTCTTCTTATCGCCCCCGCGCGGCTTCTTGTCCTTTGTAGACTTCTCCCTTGGTGATTTCGCGCCGGTCGTCTTCTTTCCCTCGACTACAGGCTCTACCGTTTTCTGCTTCTTAATGGCGCCGTTGGTTGGCGCTGCTAATTTGCGCTTGCGCGTCACCAGCGACTCGTCCAGTGGGCCAGGATCTGCCTGCTTCTTTCCCATACGACGTCCAGCTCCCATATTTGCGGTGACGTGAAGTATCACAAGAGATGTTGTGGATGTGAAGGGATTGGGATGTAATCTGCTTTATTCAAGCTCAACATTTCGGGAACTTTTTTTTGCCTTGATCGTTCTCGGGCAAGTCAGCCGAGCTCCGCATCTCCGATGAACCGCATCGACACTTCCTCTCGTTCACTGCCTTCATCACCAAAACCACAATCACAACCAGATGGGAGCATTACCAGGAGGCTGACCATCATCATACGAACATAGTACGCATTGTAATGTCACAATCCTGGAGCCCTCTCACTCTGCCTCGCACCGTCACTGTTGCGGAGCGGGCGGAAGAGGCAGTCGACGAGGTTAGGGTATCCTCTGACAATGTCTCTTTTATCAGTGTCCACGCGTGCTGGATATTCTGAATGTTCTTTGACAGAGCAGTGAATTCTACATGGATTGAACTACTCTACTCGACAGTGACTGTTCCTGTATTCCTCAATATCAGAAGACAGTCATAGCTTTGATAGGTGAGGATTCCGCAAATCTCACGTTCGACGATACATAATATACACTGACACGTCAGCATCGCCATAGAAAGACCTTCCATGTCCAGAAGGAGACTTCTTGCAAGACGACAGTAACGTTTCCCAACGGTAATGACGACGAGTGATGAGTCTGGTTATCCGACAAACCCGCCGATCCTGCCCACTGCAACAACGTGCAATCAAGACACCCGCATGCTATAGTCCCGAGATGCGATGAACCATTCACYTACTCTTRCATAGCAAGGCTGACGACACGTTGCCGGATAGTACGCAATCAACACAGCTGTACCAGTGGCTCAATCCGGGAACCCCAGCGAATTGCGGCGTTGAATAAACGGTGCTATAGAAACCCAAGACTACACTACTTGATTGGGAAATAGCCGGCAACATTCATCTTTTTCGACCCTGTTCAACCCAGTCGCATGGTAGGTCAAGACGTTGCGGCAACAGTATTGATTCTACGTTGCGAGTTGCTATGCAAACCGCTGTTTTCTGGCTACAGGACTTGTGTGTACAATTGGCAGTTGACGTGTAAGTCTCGTCAGATGTCATATATATGAACACTCGGCAGCATTTTGAATGCGCTTCATCTCATCGATCTACATACACTTGGCTTCTTCTCTTCTTTTGCGAGACAGTTCTTTTCCGATACAGTCTTTTCTGATATTCACATACCTTTCTGATACCCATACCTTTTGATACCCACACATTTCTGATATAAATCTTTATCAATTAACACCAATCATCAAAGATGCAAATCACCACTGCAGCTCTGTTGACCGCTTTGGTCGTGGCGCCCATGACCGTCATGGCCGATAGCTGCGACAAAGGTTCGTCTTGCAAGTACTGGGACGAGATCTCGTGGAAAAATGCCGCGGAGAAGTTCTGTGATCCCGCCGACAACAAAGTTGTCAAAAAAGGAGATACATATATGGCGAAGACATCCAAAAACGACGACGGGGCTGGCGGAGCTCAGATCTTTTTTGGTAAGTGCAAGTTGGAAATGTAATCATCACTGTACATCWTCACTGACCACAATCTATCTTTTGACAGGCAGCTACGAAGTTAACGGCCAAAAGGATTACACAATCCACGACCAGGAGTGCTCATCCTACATGAGCCAGATCTGGGCCAAATGCGGTGGTGATGGAGGATCGATCGATACTACATTCGGAACCGTGACCGCGAAGTGTACCAAAGACATTTCGACTCACAAGCATGCCGCAGAAAAATACGACGACGACACTCCAAAGGTGGTCAACAAAGTCAACGGCCGTGGAGACCGACGCAGAAGAAGAAATGCTGCAAATAAAGCCAAGTCAGCAAAGCAGAAGCAAGAGAAGGAATCGAAAGTGGCCAAGGTAGAAGATCAAATAGTGAACCGACGAGCTGTCACCGGTCAAACAAGCGCGGACGCGAAAGTGGCCAAGGTAGAAGATCAAATAGTCAACCGACGAGCTGTCACCGGTCAAACAAGTGCGGACGCGAAGGCGAACCGATTGGCGGAGGAAGCTAAGATCAACGAAGAGCACGCCAAGGTCGCGGCAGAGGAAGCCAAGAAAGCCGCCGAGAACCAGAAGCTGGCAGGCCCGGCCAAGGCTGCCGCGTCGAAGCAGGCTGGAGATGCAAAGGCAAAGGATGACCAGGAGAACGAGGCCGCGTCGAAGCAGGCTGGAGATGCAAAGGCAAAGGATGA